GAGAAGAGAGATGCTTACAAAATTCTCAGCGATCAACATGAGGGGAAGGCTAAGAGCCTCCGTGCTGAGCTAGAGGCGACTCAGAATGAGCACGCCGACCTGGTGGAAAAGGTAAAAGTCTTTTAGATTAGTAACGATGAGCTAGACTCGGTGACTAATGCTCCAAACCCGCAGGTCCAACAAAATCTTGATCGGATTGACCAACTTCGAGAAGAGATGGACGGGATAAAGGTCGAGGCTGAAGAATGGAAAAGCAAAATGGGCCGCTTGACTTGGAAAAGGAAACTACCCGAGTGCAATTAGCTTCGGTTGAGGTTCAGCTTCGGGCGGCAAAGGAAAATGCCATGGTGCAGGCCAAAAAGATTGAGGAGCTCCAATCTCACCTAAGTTCAGACGTCTTTGATCGAGAAACTCTGGCCAAGGATCTTGAAATGGCCAAGTCGGTGGTCGTGGTGGTTAAAGTCGATGCTAATGAGGTGATGGCCCAATATAAGGCCAACGCCGAGGTGGCCCAGGATCGAGCGAAGGATATCGTCTAGCATGCGAAGCTGCAATCCCAAAGGGAGGCCCTCAAGGAAATTCATGCTCGTGATTTTGCAAAGATTGAAATGCCTTAGCATGAAATAGTTAGGTTCTGTTCAGAGGTTCGAACGGGCCTTGTCTACAACATTAGTTTGTTTAAGGCATCGTAGGGGTTCGGTATGACCGAAAATTTTCCCCCAAAGTACTTATAATTTTTAAATTATAGTTTGTCGAGGGTAGCCTTTAGAACCGGTTAAGAAATTTTGAAGGCTTTATTTTTTATTACGAGTCTCAAATGTCTACGGGCTATTTTAATACGTCCATAGCCTGTTTAGTTCGGGTGCTTCCAAGTGGGCTTGTCATCCCGAGTTATCCGGGCTTGTCTAAGATAACAGTCCCCGGATCGGGATGTCCATAACCTTTAAAATTCGGGAGTTGTCTTATAGGTCTTGTGTCCCCGAGCTCTGATAGCCTGGACCATCTGAGTTTGTCTTCGAACGGCAATCCCCGAGTGGGAATGATCGTTTGAACTCAGATTAATGCGACCCTTGGGCTCGATACCTTTAGGGGATCGGATGTAGGAAATTCCTTAAGAAATGCAAAAAGAAAATTTTTAAGGGACAATATATTTATCCACAAGGTAAAGACTTCTTTTTATTCTTGTGCGTGATAGTTACATATGTATACAAGCTTTGTGTTAGGGCCCGAGCAGTTTATGAGAGCACAGTTCATTTGATTTGGCCCTTACAGTAAATCCTATCGACCGAGCCGAGACCGTTTGATCACAAAGTCTTTTTCCTTGCTAAGTTCGTTATCCGAGGGTAATTCCCCCACTGTATGAGGTTGATCATAGAGAAGCCTCAGATACTGTTGATATGATCTTTTACACTGATTCAGTCCAAGGAAAAAAGTGCAACGCGTGCTTTCAGACCTAAAAATTGTACCATTCCTTGTTGGTCACCTGCAAGTGTTATTTCAAAAATAAGTAAAAGGAATGAATGGGGTCGTACTTTAGCAGTAGTATCACTTCAAGTGAGTTACGTTCCAGTTATTCGGTAGCCGTTCACCGTTCATTGCTCCGAGTTTGTACGATCCTTTTCCAATGATCTTGATAATTTGATATGGCCCCTCCCAGTTTGGCCCCAACTTCCCCTCGTTCGGATTTCGGGTGCTTAGTGTGACCCTTCTTAACACTAAGTCCCTGAAACTGAAGTGTCGAAGATTGGCCCTTCGATTATAATATCTCTCGATCCATTGTTTTTGGGTGGCCAATCGAAAAAGGACGGCTTCACGCCTTTCATCTAATAGCTTCAAGCTCGTACTCATGGCCTCATCATTTGAATCCTTGGTTGCGTATCGGAACCTGAGACTTGGTTCTCCGACTTCGATCGGTATTAGAGTTTCAGCACCGTAAACCAACGAAAATGGGGTGGCCTTGGTACTGAACTTTGAGGTCGTACGGTACGCCCATAGGAATTCGTGCAGGATTTCCTTCCATTTTCCTTTGGTATCGGTTAACCTCTTTTTGAGATTTTGGAGTATGGACTTGTTGGTCGATTTTGCTTGTCTGTACCCACTAGGGTGGTGGGGTGTTGATAGGATCCTTTTGATCTTATGGTCTTCAAGAAACTTTCTTACTTTGATACAGATGAATTGTTTCCCGTTGTCACACACGATATCAGCCGGCATTCCAAACCGGCATATGATGTGGTCCCAAATGAAATCTATGACTTCTTTCTCCCTGACTTCTCGTATGCCTGGGCTTCTACCCACATAGAAAAATAGTTAGTCATAAACAATATAAATTGAGCCTTAACGTGTGCCCATAGAAGGGGGCCAACGATGTCCATTCCCCACTTCATAAACGACCATGGTGACAAAACCGAATGCAGCAACTCCCTGAGTTGATGAATCATCGGAGCATATCTTTGGCCATTCATCACATTTTCGTATGAACTTTTTTGCATCCTTTTATATGTCGATCTAGTAATAGCCGGCTCTGATTATCTTTCGAACTAGTGATTTGATGCCTGGACTATTTTTGCAGGTGCCCTCGTGAACTTCCCTCATAACGTATTCTGTATCTTCCTTCCCTATACATATCGCTAGTAGGCCATCGAACATTCTTCTGAACAATGTTCTGTCTTTGGAGAAGCTAAATCGGGCTACCTTCGTATGCAGGGCCCTCGATTCTTTTGTATCCGAGGCAATTTTCCGGTTTTCAGATATTCTATATATTTGTTCCTCCAATCCCAAGTTAGGCTTGTAGAGTTTATCTCGGCATGACCCTCTTCCACTACCGATCTCATGAGTTGTATGATTTCCCCCGAGTTGAGTTCGTCGTCCTCAATCGACGACCCTAAGTTAGCAAAGGCATCGGCCTCGCTGTTTAGATCTTAAGGTATGTGTTGCAAAGTCCACTCCTTGAACCGCTGTAATGTAACCTGCAACTTATCTAAGTACCTTTGCATTCGTTCTTTTCTGACCTCGAATGTCCCATTAACTTGGTTCACTACGAGGAGGGAGTCACACTTAGCTTCGATCACTTCCGCCCCCAAGCTTTTGGCTAATTCGAGACCTGCAATCATGGATTCATATCCAGCCTCGTTGTTAGTCAATTTCACAGTCCTAATAGATTGCCTAACTACATTGCATGTTGGTGGCTTCAATACGATGCCAAGTCCGACCCCCTTTGCGTTCGAGGCGTCATCCGTAAAGAGGGTCCTAATCCCTAAAGACATCCCCGAGTTCACCAACAACTCTCTTTCGAACTCGGGAATTAGGGTCGGCGTAAAGTCGGCCACTAAATCTACCAAAATTTAAGATTTAATGGTTGTACGGGGTCGATATTAAATATCGTACCCGATGATTTTCACTACCCATTTGGACAATCGCCCCGAGAGCTCGGGTTTATGCATTATATTTTGCAACGGGTAAGTAGTCACTACACATATAGGATGACATTGCAAATATGGTTTCAGCTTCCTAGAGGAGATTAACAAAGTGAGCGCCAATCTTTCTAGGTGAGGGTATGTAACGACCCGACTTGTCATTTTAAGAATTTACATCTCGTTCAGTGACTTATGGTTTCGAACTGCCTCGCAATATGTATTATGATCCGCGTGTGTGGTTGAGTTTGATTTACGAATGATTCGGAGTGATTTGGGACACTTAGTCCCTAAGATGGAAGCTTAAGTATTAGGATTTTTAACTGTAGTCGAAACTGCGTAAAGACGACTACGGAATGGAGTTCTGTCGGTTCTGTTAGCTCTGTTGGGTGATTTTGGACTTAGGAGCATGTTCGGACTGTGAATCTGAGGTCTGTAGCCAATTTAGGCTTGAAATGGCGAAAGTCGAATTTTTGGGAAGTTTGACCGGGGGGTTGACTTTTTGATATCAGGGTCGGAATGCGATTCCGAAAGTTGGAACAACTCCGTTATGTTATTTGGGACTTGCCTGCAAAGTTTGACGTCATTCCAGGTTGGTTTGATAGGTTTCGGCACGAGTTTTAGAAGTTGGAAGTTTTTGAAGTTCATAAGTTCGATTTGGGGTGCGATTCATCATTTTGATGTTGTTTGAGGTGATTTGAGAATTTGACTAAGTTCGTATGATGTTTTAGGACTTGTTGGTGTATTTTTTTGAGGTCCCGAGAGGCTCGGGTGTGTTTCGGGGTGGTTTCGGACCAAATTGGAGTTGTTTGGACTGCTGTTGCTGAAGTCTGGTTTTCTTCTTCGCGAACGCGAAGGGAGTCCCGCATTCGTGAAGAGGAAATTGAGGGGCTGATGATTGTTTCTTTGCGAACGCGAAGCTGTGAACGCGAACACGAAGAAGGAGCAGGGCAAGCCTTTGCGAACGCGTCCCAGGCAACACGAACGAGAAAAAGAAAGGAAGATAGGGCCTGGGGTCGTTTGGCCTTCGCGAACGCGAAGCGTGGAACGTGAACGTGAAGGAGCTGGGCAGCTGGCCATCGCGAACGCGACGAGGAAACGATGATGCAGGAACAGTGGCCTTCGCGAATGCGACTCTTGTCACACGAACGCGAAGAAGGACTTGAGGCAGCTGGATTTTGGTCTTCGCGAACGCGAAGCAATGGTCGCGAATGGGAAAAAGGTGTATATGGGCAGAATTAAAAGTCCCAAAATGGGGATTTGAGTTCATAACTCAAAATCTAATTTGGAGCTCGGTAGAAGGCGGTTTTTGGAGAGATTCTTGCGTGGGTGTTTGGGGTAAGTGATTCTTATCCAATTTTGATTAATTTCCATGATTTTTTTTCCAAAACTTTAAACCAGCTTCCAAATTCGTACATGTAACGTTGTCTTTCAAAGTTAAAAGACCAATAAGGGAACATATCAAACATACTAAACTGTTATACTAACAAGAACAAAAAGCAGGCTTGGCACCCTCCTTACAATTCATCATGCTCACTTCTTTGACTTCTTAGATCCCTGAGCTGTTTGGGCTGGTGCGGCAGCAAGTTGAACTGGCCTCTCTCATGGTCCCTGTGCCAAACGCTCCTCCCTCCTAGCGAACTTTCTTTTCCTGCTAGCTTTGTTCTTTGCCCTCCTGGCCTCAAATTGGTCGGACAAGGTCTTTTCTCTAGCCTTTTCAGCCTTTGTTTTATGGATATTTTCCATCAGCACACGCTTGTTCTTGAAAACATTACCATTCACCTTCATGTACATGTCATGATACATGTGCCTGTCAAACTTCTTTGACTCCCTGTAATTGCGAAGCAAGCGCCTAAGGACTCTCATTCTCCTCATCCAAAGCACCTTTGTGAGTAGTCTAGCCTCCCTGGTACCTTTGCGCTTACCGTATCCAGAGTGATGGCCCTTCCTCTTGGCCTCCTTCATTCTGCGAGCACGAGATCTTGAGTGAATTTTGGTTGGCTTCCTGATGATGAAACCAACCTTCACCAATTTTCTGATATTTTGGCGGGAATTGGCCATGGAGATCTCGTTGCCCTCATTAGGATCGAGCCAAACTTTGCCTCTTCCACACTTGAGGACACTAGCGGCGAGCCGCTTCAGCGAAACCATTTTCCGATTCTCTTCAGCGAAGCTGCGAACAAAGGAGAAAATTAATTTCTATGATTATATCTTTAAATCCATCATTTAATTCGGATTTATTGGAGGAAAAATTAAGATTTTTTTAAAATCTTCCAAAACCGAAAATTTAAGATTTGGAGGTCGATTTGTTATTGGAATTCGATAAAATTGGTATGGTTGAACTCGTATCGGAATGGGTGTTCGGATTTCATGAAAATTATGTCGGGTTCCGAGAGACGAGTCCCGCGTTGACTTTTGTTGACTTTTTGGAATAAATTTTTAAGTCGACATATTATTATACGAAATTGTTTCCGATAAATTTTAATGAAGTTATACAATTAATTTGAATAGATTTGAACGGCCCGGAGATCAATTCAAGCAAGAAGGCGAATTTGGAATATCGGCATAATTTCAAAAAGGTAAGTGTCTTGCTTAACCTCGAGTGGGGGAAATTCCCCTTAGGCATTGAGTCTTATGTGCAACTTGGGTAATTGAAACCAATGTACGCGAGGGGACGGGGATGTACTTGGTTTATATGTGCAAATTATATTGAGTTAAAGTCTTGAGCATATTTGTAATCATCTACTTGTCGTGCCTAAACCCTTGTTGTTGACTCTGTTGTTATATGACAATGTGATGTGATTGTTATTTGATTATTTATGAAATTTCGTGAATTTGCTGGTTTGATAATTATTGCAGTTTAATTTCATTTTGGATTATCCCCCATGTAAATAATTAATTAAATGAGCTTAAGAAGAGGTGTTTATATAATTATTGAAAATTTGATCTTTATTAAAACTTTGCTTTATGTTGAGTAATTGCTATCTCTATTTGATTGTTTTGGGGTGTTGTACATATTATGTGGAGCATTTGATTATTTGTTGTGAAATTAATTGACTTGGTTGTAGCTTTGAAATTTGATTGTGGCTAGTGAGAAAATTGTGATATGAATTGATTTTGTCATATTGCTTTGATAATTTCTCATGTAAAATTATTGTGTTGTGTGAGTTGTTATTTAGAGGATATAAGGGTGTCATTTCACCGTTGATATTATGTAGCTATAAGGGTGGCATATTACTGTTATTGTGTTTGTTGGAATATTGTCTGGGCGGACCGATAAGGGTGAAAATAGGAGCGATAAGGATGACTATTGATATTTTTTGAGTGGAGCGATAAGGGTGGCTATAGGAGTGATAAGGGTGGCAATATGAGCGATAAAGGTTGTTGTTGTCAGGGACGATATGTGATGATGTGGGGTTGTGATGTTGACAATTTTCATGTGATGTTGTGATTTTCTTGTGTTTACTTTTATACCTTGTGCAACTTGTCTTGTTGTTAGTAAATTGATAATAATCTGATTTAGGTTGAAATTGGGAGCCTGAGGCTATTACCAGGCGGTTTATAAAATGAAATGTGGGCACGAGGTACCGTGAAATGTGACATGAAATGGGGATATTGGCACGCGAATTGTCCGTGCAGTTGTGATATAAAATGTGGGCGCGAGGTGATGTGATGAAATGATAATGATATTTGGCACGTGAACTGTCTGTGCAGTTGTGATATGAAACGAGGGCACGAGATGCCAGGAAAATATGATGATTTAATTATGGGCACGAGGTGCCATGGAAATATGGAAATGGGCTGAGATCCGTATTTACGAAAAATATAAAAATGGGCCGAGACCCGTATTTTGATGATTTTGAAATGAAGTATCACATGGTGACTTTTTAATTGAATGAATTATATTCAAAATATTTATTCGGAAGGATTTTTACTTAGAAAGTATTATATAAACGAATTGTATTTTGAAAGATATTTATTTGAGGAAATCGTATTTGAAAAGATTTATTGAAAGAATTATATTTGAAAAATAATTATTTGAGAAAATTATATTTGAAAGAGAGTTATCTGGAAGAACTATGTGAAAGCCATTTATTTGAAGAGCTTGATTTAATTGGGTGTAATTATGTTTACTAAATTGTTGAGTGGTATTAATAGTATTCTTGTTGTCTGTTGTGCATATCACTGGTTATTTTATTCTGCCTTTATTATTATTTGTTTCCTATTATTTTGTATATCATATTACACAAGTTATTAGACTAGTGAGTGTCTTGACTGTACCTCGTCTCTACTCCATTGAGGTTAGTCTTGATACTTACTGGGCACCGACGTGGTGTGCTCACTCTACACTTCTGCACATTTTGTGCAGAGCCAGGTATTGAAGATAATGGACTTGAGCAGAGTTAAAGTAGGATCGTAAGGATTCAAGGTAGAACTGCTTGGTCATCGCAGTTCCTTGGAGTCTTTTTATTTCATTGTACTGTTAATTTGTAACCAAACAGTATTGATCTTATCGGGGTTGATCTCGATTCCTCGTTTGGATACCATGAATCCGAGGAATTTACCTGATCCGACTCCAAACGCGCATTTCTTTGGGTTCAGCTTCATATTGTACTTCTTCAATATGCTGAAAGTTTCCTGCAAATGTTTTAAATGGCCCTTTGCTCGTAGGGACTTGACCAACATATCGTCAATGTAAACCTCCATTGATTTTCCTATGTTTTCCTCGAACATCCGGTTTACTAGGCGTTGATAAGTGGCACCGGCGTTGTTTAATATGAATGGCATCAGTTTATAGCAGTATGTGTCGTACTTAGTGATGAAGGAGGTTTTTTTCTGATCATCCGGGCTCATCAATATTTGGTTGTACCCGGAGTAAGCATCGAGAAAACTAAGGATCTCGTGGCCGTCTATGGCATCGATCATGTGATCGATGTTGGGCAAAGGGAAAGAGTCCTTGGGACATGCCTTATTCAAATCCTTATAGTCTACACACATTCATAATTTATTCCCTTTTAGGGACTACCACTACGTTTGCAAACCAATCTGGGTATTTAACCTCCCGAACGGACCCTATTTTAAGCAGTTTAGATACCTCATCCTTGATGAAAGCATATTTGACCTCGAACTGGGGTCTCCTCTTCTTCTTGACCGGGTGGAATTTCGGGTCTAAGCTTAGCTTGTGAGTGGTTATCTCTGACGGGAACCTTGTCATATCAAGATGGGACCAAGCAAAAAAATCTTTGTTAGCTATAAGAAATTGAATGAGTTTTTTTTTGAGCTCGGGACTTAACCCCGTGCCTAGGTATACCTTCCGATCGGGTAGATGCTCGATCAATATAACTCGTTCCAGCTCCTCGACTATTGATTTAGTTGCGTCGTAATTATCGGGGACTATAAAAGTTCTGGGAACCCCGTAATCTTCGTCTTCATCAGTTCCCTGCTTCTCCAGTTGGGTCGTGGCCGGTGTCGGTAATTGCTATTTAGCCTCTTTCTTTGCGACCGAAATTGGTTCCTTTGACGTTGCAAGTACGAAATCACCTCTTCAATCGCAAACATTTCCTTTGCGGATGGTTTTTCTCCGTAGATTGTTTTAATCCCTCCAGGAGTTGGGAATGTTAACACTTGGTGGAGAGTCAAGGGAATTGCCCTCATGTTGTGGATCCATGGCATTCCGAACAGAGCATTGTACCTCATGTCTCCTTGGATCACGTAAAACTTGGCCTCTTGGATGGTCCCGACGGCATTAACTGGTAATGTTATCTCCCCCTTAGTGGTTTCACAGGCCATGTTGAATCCGTTTAGAACTCGGACTGCATGCACGATTTGATCTTGTAGACCGAGCTGCTCTACGATTCTCGATCGGATGATGTTAGCCGAGCTACTTGGATCAATTAACACATTCTTAACTCAAGATTTATTTAATGAGCACATATATTACCAGTGCATCATTGTAGGGTTTCACGATCCCTTATGCATCCTCGTCGTTGAAAGACAAGGTTCCTTCTGGTACGTAATCTCGAGTCTGTTTTCCCCTTGTGATGGATACTTTGGTGCGCTTTAACATCGGCCCTTAAGGGACATCAACCCCACCGATGATCATGTTAATGACGTATTGAGGTTCTTCTTGTTCGATTTGTTTACTAAAATCCCTTTTTCTGAAATGATTCTTGGCTCGGTCACTTAGGAATTCCCGAAGGTGCCCGTTGTTGAATAACCGAGCTACTTCCTCTCTTAACTGTCAGCAATACTCTGTTCTGTGGCCGTGAGTGCCATGATATTTGCACATATGGTTAGGATCCCTTTGAGCTGGATCGAATTGTAGAGGCCGAGGCTATTGGGTGTCCTTGATGCATCCGATAGTTGATACGATGGCAGCATCATCGACGTTAAAGTTGTATTCAGATAACCTTGGTGCTTCTATAGGCCCTATAGGCCTTTCGAAAATGTTCTTGCTCATGAGTCCCCGATTGCTCTGACCTCGATCATTTCTCCTTTCATTTCGCATAGATTTCTGCCCGGACCTACTGCTTCTTCGGTCTCCATTGTACGACTGATGCCGATCTCTGTTTGATCTCGGTTCTCGGTCGGTGTCTCTCTTGACTCTGTCTATGGTTCTGACGGGATATACGGACCCGTAAGGGGCCCCAAGTTGATCATCTTCGACTCTAATTTTTGACTGATATCGATTGTGCACGTCGGCCCAAGTAACAGCCGAATATTCTATCAAATTTTGTTTCAACTGTTGTGAAGCCACCGAGCTTCAAACATTGAGTACTTGGGTGAAAGCTTGAACGGCACAATCATCAACGACCAGTGGTAGATCCATTAGTTCTATTTGAAACCGGGACACGAACTCTCTAAGCATCTCATTATCCTTATGTTTTACTTTGAAAAGGCCCGGCTTCCTGGTCTCGACCTTGATAACCCCGGCGTGTGCTTTCACAAAAGAATCTGCAAGCATAACAAATGAGTCAATAGAGTTAGGAGGTAAGTTGTGATACCATATCATAGTTCCCTTTGACACGGTCTCTCCGAACTTCTTCAACAAGACAGACTCGATCTCATCATTTTTCAAGTCATTCCCTTTAATGGCACATGTGTAGGAGGTGACATGCTCGTTAGGGTCGATCGTTCCGTTGTACTTAGGA